GTCATCTACAAGCTTTGCAAGTGGGAAAACCTGAAAAATCAACAGTGTATCAAATACTTGTTCTCCCCACTGTATGTTATCAATGACATCTTTAAAAGAAAATGCTTTCATTTTTTAAACAAAAATTTGATGTCAAAAGCATTTTAAAATCGCAGTATTTCCATAATTTGACGTTATGGGTAAATGACCTGCTGGACACTTGGACTATCGAGCTAAACTCATGAATCTCTTTTACTATGTCTGCAATGTAGACAAGAGAAATTATGTTTGTGTCGCAGCTCTTTGTGAACTCATTCTCTGCTGAGTGAACCACTCCCTCCTATTGTCGCTCCACGGTGGCCCGCTGTTATTAATAGTGTCGAARCAGTGCTGATGAAGTTCTGGCAGCTCTGTGGGTACGCTGGGTATGAGCACTTACACCGACCAGTTTTTTTTCCCGTCAGAGTGTGAACATTAGCTGAGGAATGTCATACTGATAGACATTAATGTAGCGACACTGTGCTACAGTGTAAGAGATTCTTGGTAAGATGTAAAACTGCACTGTGCTGCATAAAAAACATCACAGAGGAAGCAGTTTAAGTTCAAGTAGCTTTAATATGTTTGTATTTCTTTTTAAACTATTATACTGAACGTTTTGAAGATAAAATCTCCAATTTTAAAAGTATATTTTGGTCACTCGTATATATAAATACACTCAGACATGAGTTTACCATTAATCAGGTGAAATAACTCTTTATGCAGCTCTAAATTATAATAAATCTCTAACAAAAAGCATCACTTACATGATTCATTCTGTAAGGGAATTCCTTTGAAAAGGCGTGAGAGAATCTTGTTTTCACTGTAGCAAAAGAAAAAAAAACGTGAACACACACAACCAATAACAAGGGTCAAGTCCAAAGCTACGTTCACACTGCAGGCAAGTTACCCATATCAGATTAGATTTTTTCTTATGACAGCCTGAATGAGAAAAATACTTTTTTTTKCAAATCCAACCCAGTTCTTACTTTCGACTTTTACATGACAGAGGTAGGGGTTTTCAGATCTAACCAAATATTGAGGCTATTGATACCAGCGTCACGTAATTTAAAGCTTGTAACTCTGCGAGTCTTTAGCTACAGAACAGAAGGCCAGTTGCTTCATCTTCTTAAACTTTCTAGATTAGTAATATCCTGAATCAATGACTAAGAATTTACTGCCGAGGTACACCAATGTGTTGGATTGTACTGATAATGATGGGATCAAGTTTGTTTCTCGCTTCTCTTTTCAGTCACTCTTGTTCCAAAAGTGCAATTCTGCACCTGAACAGGTGGGAAGCAGAAAGGTCAAATGTAAACATTGGACAAAGCAAGAACAGTAGATAATAATTTAGTTGTCCCTTCTGCACGATCCACACACGCTAACGTGTGTAAAATCCATATTTACTAGGGCTGCAACAACGAATCGATAAAATAGATAAAAGATGGGAGCTTACTGGCTCATACTTTTAGCCATAGACAAAACCAACAAGAAGGAAGCAAAACGTAAAGAATTCGAGAAAAATCAAATTCCAAATGCAAATAAATTATAATTATAATAATAAATTAATAATAGTTTTACATCTAAAAATCATATTTTAATCTTTTTATGTTTTCCTCATTCAGCAACCTATTAAATTTCTGTTTTGTTATGTTTTATAGCTATAACCAAGTTTATTAATGTGTGAGAAATCCACATTTTCTTCCAGTCAGTGTTTAATACGGCTGGCAAAATCGATAGCGAAAATCTTTATGATGTGCTTCTTTTTTAAATTTAGCATATTATTTAAAAAATCCTTCATTTTATGAAAAAACCCTCTTGATTCTATAAAAAAACTGTTTAAGAAAATGGCTGCTTATCAATTAATCATTAGTCAATCTATAAGATAAATCAACTTCAGATAACTACACATTAATCGATAACTTGAATCCCTAATTTATACAGGAATTAAATTAATTTATATCTACTTATATTTATGTAATTCAGCGTTTTATTGATTTTGGCCGATTAATCGAAAAAAGAATTGACAGATTAATTGATTATTAAAATAATCGTTAATTGCAGCCCTAATATTTACTTCTATGAACACAGCGTGTGATGCCACATCACCTTCTGCACATGCAGGTTTCTTCACGGCTGTAGACTGTTCGCACTGTAGTTTGATTTGTGGTGGTATTTAAATAGCCYAGTATGTGTTTTTGTTTATATTTTAGTTTGTTCCTTCATGGGGTYACTTACAAACAGAGGTTGCTGCAGAGATCAGTCTGGTATTTGATACAACTCCAAATTCCTGAAGGAAGATAAATAGTTAAGCAGCCTTAACTCAAACAATCGCATAAAACAATAACAAATTCATGGAAATTGAAAAAAAAGTGGAATCTAGAGATTTTAATGTATGAAACATTACTATGAAGATAAGATACTGAAATAGGAAAGTAGAAAATTCTCTCTTACCTCAACTTTAGAAGCCARAAACACACAGGTAGGAGCCATGAGCACTGGATCTATACTTTTCAGAGAGTACCTGCAAGCAAGAAAATATATTTTTCCTCCCAAATGTTTCAAATATATTAACTGTAAAAGGCAAATTCCACAATCCTTCCAGATGAAGTAAAATGCATTGAAAATGAGCAAAAAAAAGCAAATAAAAGTTCTGTTAAATCTCTCATCTGTTCCTGTTGGCTTTGGAGTACAGGGAGGATTTCATTTATGTGTTCCTATTTCTGTTATCTGATGACAAAACAAGTCAGATGTATAGTGACTTTATACATGTTTAACCTGCAGCAGCCATTGAATTCATATCCACTAGAGCAGTGGTTCCCAAAGTTGGGGTCGGGACCCAAAGTGGGGTCCCGAAACATCAAGGTGGGGTCCTGAAAC